TCCCTTAAAGGACTAGTTATATATATTAGGCTGCTAAAGTAGGAACTGCCAAGAATGGGGTACATTGACATTGTGGCAAGCTTATGCATACATATAATGTAACTAAACCCCCATTAATTTTTGCCTAGGTGAGGTGTTTTTAAAATAAATTACTACAATCTGTAAGATTTGAAATAATTGTTTAGTGAATAAGTGAGTACGCTGGATTGTGTATTATATAAATACATATATATACTGAACAAAATTATAAACACAACACTTGTGTTTGCCCCCATTTTTCATGAGCTGAACAGTTGAACTCAAAGATCTAAGACTTTTTCTATGTACACAAAAGGCCTATTTCTCTCAAATATTGTTCCCAAATCTGTCTAAATCTGTGTTAGTGAGCACTTCTCCTTTGCTGAGATAATCCATCCACCTCACAGGTGTGGCATATCAAGATGCTGATTAGACAGCATGATTATTGCACAGGTGTGCCTTAGGCTGGCCACAATAAAAGGCCACTCTAAAATGTGCAATTTTACTGTATCGAGGCGCCGGGGGATCCAAAATACAGTCAGTGACCACCATTTTGCTTACGTGGTATAACACATCTCCTTAGCATAGAGTTGATCAGGATGTTGATTGTGGCCTATGAAATGTTGGTCCACTCCTCTTCAATGGCTGTGCGAAGTTGCTGTATATTTGCAGGACCTGGAAAAATAGGGGCAAAAACAAAAGTGTTGCGTTTATAATTTTGTCCAGTGTATATATATATATATATATATGCCTGATCCTGATGAAAGTCCCTGCTGGGACTGAAACGTTGATCTGATTTTTAATGGATTACTAATAAACTGTAAGTTTTAACCTTCAAAAGTCCAAGAGTGCTGATCACTGCCTGTACATATATGAATTTTTCCTGGATTTCAAGCACCCAGCAAACATCTTACTAAAGCGTGAGTGCAAGGACTGTCTACAATTTTTATATGTATATACACACAATCCAGCACAGTCGCTTATTCAATATCAATGATTTCACATTTTTGACATTTGTAATAGTTTTATTTAAAAACACCTCTGCTAGGAAAAAATAATGGGGGTTTAGTTACATAATATGATCATACATTGCATAAGTCTGCCACAATGTCAATGTACCCCATTCTTGGCAGGTCCTACTCTAGCAGCCTGATGGTTGCCCTTAGATCATGTAAGTGGATTGATCTAATAAGTGTTTAAACTAGTTCAGGAACCAACGCCAGTATTGGGCATTATATGTAACACCAGGAGCAGGTAGCTTATAATAGACTTCCCCTGTGCTGCTCTCCTTTATCGCACCAATCTGAATGTATGTAAACAAAAGAGATCAATATTCGATTCAACCAGGACCAGTGTGCATTTAGCTGTTGGTTTCCACTTAAACAAAACTGCTCTAGACACTAAACTATGACCACCCTCATACTGTTTCAAGGCAGCCCCTATCTAACTGACTATGTTTAGTATCATAATTTAAGAAGTGCCTACCAAATATAGAACCACAGGGTCAAGTGAATTTAAAATCAAATGAAGAGGCCGTTAACTTGACACCCAACCGTGCCTTTCTCAGGAGCTACACTATAGCTTATTGTAGTGATGCTGATGTCTATAGCATGTCTCTGCAGGCTTTTTAATGTAAACACTGTCTTTTAAGAGAAAAGGCAGTGTTTACATTTCTGACTAGTTGCACCAGCAGTGGTAGTCACTCAGACGGTGTGCAG